CAGTTCCCTGGGCTGGGCCAGCATCTAAAAATATAATAACATGAGAGGGTGGGACAGCCATAGACCAACAAAAAAGAATAAAATAGATATGGAGGCTGCTCAGTGCGAAAGAAGAAACAAAGGGAAAATCCTGTGTGTGAGGGAGGGAAGATTGCTATAACAGCCTAAAGTCATATTGGGCTTTTTTTTCTTGGTAGCAACATCACATTGCCGAGTCGTGTTCAGCTTGTGATTGCAGATGTTTCAGCACCTGAAAAAGCGTTGGGTGGGAGGGAGGAGCTCCTCAACCTGATGTGCTACAGACCCAATCAGGACTGGGCTCTTGAAATATTTTTAAATTGTTTTAAAATGGAGGCAGCATCCAGGGGTCTGACCTGTGGACATTGTCATGTCTAGTTTGTCCCTTACTTGACTTGGCTGCTTACTTACCAAGAATTCCAGCCTCAGAGTCTGTGATGGTCCATTTCTTCAGCCCAAGTTTTGTCAGCTGTGGCATTCTTTCTAGCTGTTGTAGCAGCTTAATGAGACAAGAATTTGCCTTGTCCTCCCAGGGGAGCATCAGCTCTTTCATCTTTGGTAGGACATTTAAGCTGTCAACTGAAAACAGTTTTGAATAAATGCCACTGAAATCATTCCACAGAACTGAATGATAGTTCCTTTCATAGTATCTCATCAACAAATTAATCACTAACCATGCAGTTGCAGGATTCTTTGTAATGAACAATGCCCCCCCCCCCAATGCTTTGGCAATTAGTTTAATGGCTAGGATCAAAGCATAACACAAGATACTTTCACTTATTGTACTTTGCATGAATCTCGTATTCTTTTCAGCTTCTGCAGTATCTGCAGTGCACCCAGGAGCAGTTTTCTATGTTATATTGTCCATGCATTTGACTTAGCTTGCAACTGATAACACAACCAAGGTAACTGCTCAATGGTGATGAAACAAAAACAATGCCTGTGATCAGACAAGGTTAATCTCATGACACTCTCCTCATGTCTCATATGAACCATGAGGACGCATATAGAGACATTAATGGTAGTTGCTCTGAGAGTCACCTTTTCTTGAGAATTGCTGACACAGAGCATTTTTCAGAGAAATGTTATGACTATGTCAGCAAGCAATTTAATGGTGAGCAACGCCACACTGGCAGTTAAATCAAAGTGACCCATCCATATTGGAAAAAGATACCTCGATTGCAATCTGCTGCCAGAAACAACCATCTCCCACTGCCTCATAGAAAGCCCAGCCCTGGAGACTGGAATTAAATGCAGCCTTCTGCACTTGTATTTTTCTTAGGACAGTTAATCATTTTTTAAAAAAACAAACTTGAATGTGTCATAAAATGTCTAGTGGAACACACAACACAACACACACACACACACACAAATTTGAACATGTATACTGCTAGAATGATTTATGCGCAGATCCTTTTCTCTTATGATGGAATCCCATTTCAGTAACTACCTCAATATTTAGGGAGTGTAGGAGCTGACAGTATTTTTCGTCCATTTCACACACAGATTTTTTTTTACCCTCTAGTGATGCTTTTAATTGGGCAAGTGTCCCAGGATAGAGCCTCAGAATAGAGCAAGAGGAGGGGATTTTCTCTTCACTCAAGTTTCCATACTGTGCTCTGCCAATTACCTACTCCCATCTGGGCTTTAAATTTAAATGCTTCCCCAAGGGAGGGCCAACCTTGAGCCCAGCCAGTCCTCCCTCTCCAACCCTGTCCTAGGGAGTGAAAAGCCTCTAGGCCAATTGATACTTGCCTTGGATTGGTGAACTCAGTGGCCGTTCTCCCCTAGACTTTTTTAAGGAGCTGGCTGCCTGCCCGACCTCCTCTAAGAAGGTCAGTGCTGTCTGTACTCTCTGCCAGATCTAAATGCCAGAGTGATCTCTAGTAGGAACTCAGGTGGGCTGGCTTCTGTTGCTGAGAGCTGGCTGGGCTCCTTCAAGCTGGCTTTCTAAGCAGACTCTATCAAGGCCATACCCTGCTGAGACCTGACAGATGATTTCCCCAGCCTTGGGGTTTGCTGGCACAGCATGCCTTTGGTAGGGTTTGCCAGTCCCCTGGGGTAAGTGTGGGAGTGAAGGCATCAATCTCGGACAATGTCAAACCCAGATATTGGTCATTTAGCATTATAGTCAAGAAGAATGAAGATGTGATCACTAGCGGGTCTTCGGTATATTCCTTCAAAGCCAGTCATATTTTGCATTTCCTCATATAAGTGAAATTGTAGGACTTTTTCAGTGATGGCTTCTACATTGTGGAACAATGCCCACAACACATCCTTTGCATACAGGTCTCTAGTTCAATCCCAGCTATCTCCAGTCAAGAATGGAGTTGACTCAATCGACACCAACCTCTGATCACAGTAAACAATACTTAGCTAGACAGGCAAACAGTATAAGAAAGGTTCATATGCATATAAAGAGGCTCACCGAGAAGCTTCCAAAGATTTGTTTTATAAGCAAGTGTGAATCAAAGGCCTTTTCAGTCTTCCAGTTTATTGGTGATGAGTTGTTAAAATAAAACTTATTATTGTGTAGTATAGAATTTTGCTTTTTGGACTTGAGTAATTTTCTGTAGAAAACTGATGCTTAGACATACGCATATTTCATCAGAATGCAGGTTCAAACTACATTCTCCTTAAAACAGTAATGAATTAGAATTTGATACATACCAAGGCATTTTAACTTATCATGATACAGTACAAAGCATTATCTAGCTACTTCATGGATAAAAAGTCACAAAGAATCAGTCTTCAGTTTTAACTATTCACATAGCATCTTCTCTTACCCAGTTTGTGAAGAGCTTCTTTTCCATCATTTCCCAAAAAATTATCAGATAAATTAAGAGCATACAAGTTGCATAAACTGCTAAGATTCTGGGCTATAAAATAAACAAATTCAAATTATTCCTTCATTAAATTAAATTAAATTAATTGTAGTCATCTTTCATAAAATATGGAGAAATGTAAGAAACTGAAAAGTCTTTTCAGCAATTTCTGAAATCAATCATACCTGTGAACTGCTTCTGATGCTAATTACATACTCTCCTACAACCACATTTAGTACCAGACAGCAAGGAAAGGACTAGTCTATGTGATAAAAGGATTTCTTTATAAAAACATATATCTCTCTCTCTCTCTCTCTGTATTATATATATATACATATACACACACACACACACACATCTCTTCCAGTACTGCTGCTTCATTCAGTTTTAACTCACACCCCATGGCTGTTGTCCTGTCAGCTCAAGCTGTGCTAAGCCAACGCCTCTAGGTGTGAGTCAACCATGACTACTGAGAGAGCTTAAATAATCTTTATTCAACTTCACACGCATTCAGAAATCAGTTACAGTCCGGCTGATATATCTGGGTGGAAAGTTACATCTTGTGATCTAGATTAGTTCAATAGCCGCGGTGGGAAAGAGATGGCCTTCCCCTCTCCTTGCAGTAAGGTTGATGAACAAAGAAACGGAAAAGAACAATAAAATCCTATCTTTGCACCTCTGAGCTCAGGAAATTACTCTTAATGAGCCAGTCAGAGGGAAGCTTCTGGGACCCCTAACTGTGGACTCCAATTCCCAGGTGCACAAGTCTTAAAGATACAGAGCAGTTTTACTAAACTACAGATAATGCTGACTGGGGGCAGCATAGCTGTACTAAAGTAAAAATAAAAATGTTTGAGATCTGGAGAGCAATCCTAAGCATATCTGCTCAGAAGCCTACTCAGGTTTATTCAATAGGCCAGTGCTTAATCCCAGGGAAATGTTCCTAGGAATTGCTTTAATCATGGCTCTCCCACATAATGTGCAGTTTGATCTTCACATCTGTTCATATGTCACAATATCTAGACAAGCTGTGTCCCAGTAGTAAGAGGCAACAGTCCTGTGTTGGGGCTACACTGGATTCTTCCAACATTTCCCCTTGTCTCACTGGTGCTTCTGTTTTCCCAGCCAATTACTGTGGTATTTAAAACCAGTGTTAATTCCTTCTCTCCTGCAGCAAGTATGCCCCTATGTCATTACCATGTCTCTCCCTAAAATCCAAATAATTTCCAAACCACTCAAATTAACACATTCACTTTCCCAGAGGTCAACAAATACTGAAAGACCCATTTTGAGCATATGAAATCCCAAATTAGTGGAATTAAATAAACTTTGATCTAATTTAACTGAGTTGTTAGGCTGGATTATAACATACTTCTGAATACATACTGTGTGATCCATTTATCTCTACCAAGTGAATGCTTCTTACAATCAATAAAGAAGAAGTGCCAGATGGTATCTAGATTCCCGGGTTTACAATCACAAAATTGCTCAGAAAAGGGAGACCCTAGGAACCTGCCTGTTAACTCCACCAACTGTAAAACATTTAATCTAGTTTTAGTGAAGAGTATTCTGTATTTAGGGACAGTTAAGAATTTCCAATATGCTGGCAGAGTCCTTGGAATAGGTAGACCCAGGTAGTACAAGGAGCATACCCTTCGTGCTCTACAGCTAGTGCTCAATTTGTCAAAGTGTAACACTCTGGATTTAATCAGTTTACATGCAGAGGAGTATTCCATTTGCTTTAAAGTCTCAAAAGACAAAATCAGTCTCTGCAATCTACCATTGACTAATTTTTGACTAGAACTCCAGAAACCATCTTTGACAAGTAAATGTAAATAATACATCTCTGAAGAATGAAAAATTTTAAATCTAAAAATAAATGTTGCAATCCAGGTTTTGGTTTCTAATGATGGTGCCACAAATTCCAATCAGATTGCTGGACAACATACTTCTAAAAATGCATATATAGCATAAACATGCATTTCGTTAAAATGCGTTAAATTGCACAGGGTTAATTAAAATGCATTAAATTGCACAGGATTCATGCAGAAAAAAGGTGATAATTTCACATACCAAGAATGTTCACAGCAGTCCCAGAAAGGCAACAATTGACTAGATGAATTTCTTTCAAATTTTTGAGGCAGAGAGGTATTGATTTTACTATATGTGTCATTCCATCCCCTAGGTCCCTAAGATGACTCAAATTCAGCACATGCAGTTTTTTCAAATTCTTGAAGCCTTCAGCTATAAAGAAATTACAAAAAGAAAGTTTTAATCTCATATTTGATTAGAGTTTGTTTTGAACAAGGGAAAACCAACTTTGATCATGGAAATGGCTGCCCTTTTAATTTTTGTTCAGCTGTAGGACATTAAGCCTGGTAGTCCCCTGAGTTAGAAGAAAATCAGAAAAGAAACAATCAGGCAGTATCTAGACTACTTTCTCAGGTTCTGGCACACCTGGTTTCCACCACCATACTTCCCTCTTCTTGTGTTTCTTGATCGTCATGTCCCTAGGCCCTCCCTACCCTGACACAAACTACCCAGCTACTTAAAAATATAAGCCCTACAACAATTAAAGCACCCAAACAAGGCTGTCAAATGTGAGTCAAATATCCCCTCTCCCAGTTCTTATTAATACTATATGGTCTCAGGATACATGTCAAATCAAACTTGCTATCAAATCTAGAATAACCTTACCTCTCTGAAGTCTGGATTCTTTATATTCTGACAGTACATGAGAAATTAAGAGCTGCCATCCAGATATTCAAAATTACTTGTTTGATTGTATAGTGGAATATTAAAAGAAAATGCAACAATACCTAATTGTTTAGCAGTGGCCTCGTTCATCTCGATGTTATCAAAGACCAGTTTTTCCACATTGACTAGGTCAGGTATTCCATTAATTAGGACTACAAACAAACCAACAAAATATAACAGATGACACATGATTGCTTTATGATGATACAGCACAATATATTAAGCATGTTCTATATGTTATTTTTCCTCATTTTTCTCTTTTAATACTGTTGTGTAGTGCATTCCTAAGGGCCTCTGAGGCAAAGGTGGCTGGCTGCCAGTGCAACAGCAGGAAACCCACAGAGGCTGGGGACCAGGCAAATGGCCAGGCAGCAAGGCCACAGGGGCCATGACCATGCCAGCATCCCCAGTAATAGTGTCATCATACCCACAAAATATTACAGGTGCACAACAGAATGGCCATGAAGGACACGAGGGAGCCAACCAACTACAGGGCAGCACCCACAGGGAATAGACCCCAGTAACATGCAAGTGGAGGGGCAGTGAGGGGAGGAGCCAGGTCCACAGGAGATACTGGCCATGGACCCCGGAGTGCAGGGATGCCTTCCAATGTAAAGCATCCCTTTAACCAGCTCCTCCTCCCCCAAGTCACCGGATGGCCTGCACCCAGATAGTGCCCTGGCAGCCCTGCCAGTGATCTGCCTGATCCATCTCCTACCTACACTGTATGTCTGGGTAGCATAGCAACACTAAAGGAGGCTCCATTTCAGGTGCTACTGTAAGCAAGTCAGTACCCTGCAACTCCTTGATGGCACCTGCCTGGCATGGTTCCACTTGGACAGGTACCCAGCCAAGCCCTCTGCAAGGAGCTCAGTCGAGTGCTGCAGGACCAAGTACCTGTCCCCAAGTCCATCCCTGTCTTGCAGAATGTGGAGCTGTCCCTCTGCTTCCTGGATGCCAGTTCCAGGCAGATATGGCTGAGGTACTGGAGATATCCCAGTCCTTGGTGAGCTGCTCCTCCACAACTCCTGGGTGCCATACTCCTGTGTCCCTGTAGGACCTTGTGCACTTCTACCTGGAGGAGGCAGAGCTGGCCCACATCTGTGATGGGTTTGCTGCATTTGCAGGCTTCCTGAATATCATGGGGGCCATTGAGTACACCTACACTCTGCTCATCAGTCCCCAGGAAGAGCTGCAGGTCCTAGTGCAACCAACACCTCTACTATAGCCTGAGTATGTAGGCCAGCTGTGACCACCAGGGCATCTTCACGGACTTCATGGCCAGGTTCCCAGACAGCATGCATAATGCACAGATCTTCACCCTTTCTGGGCTCACCCACATGCTGAATGCCTGCCTGGCTGGAGAGCAACTGCTGACTGCTGGGTCAGTTCCCCTACTGGGGGGCACTGGGCAGGGGTGGGGCCCTGACAGCTGCCCTACCCCTGACAGCTGTCCTTCTTCCTCCACAGGTGTCTTGGTCTACCCCCTGCTCATAAACCTGCTCACACTTCATGCCAAGGATAAGGTAGCGGACTGTGCCACCAACAACAAGGTCTACAGACAGACCCATATAGTAACTGAGTGGGCATTCAGCCAGCTGAAGATGTGCTTCCACTGCCTGCACTACACCAGGAGCTGGAGGGCTATGTAGCCCCTGGGCATCATCAAGCATTTTGCTGTCCATGCCATCCTCCACAACAAGGCTGCCAGTACCCTAGCTGGTGAGGAGCGGGAGGACCCCTGGTTCAGAGACATGGAGCCAGCAACAGTGGCTCAGAATGTCTGGGGGATCACTGAGCAAGAGCAGGTCTGGAACCACATACAGTGGCAAGGCTGGTGATGTGGGGTGGTCCCTCAATAGTGTTCCAGCATTTGCAGCCTGTGCCACTGGCCTATGTTGCTATATGTGGAGGACAGGTGGATGGGGTATTCCCTGCCCAGGGCAACCGTGAACAATATGCCCCCCTGTGGCCTGCATAGCACCTGGGCTGCCATCATCGTTGTCCCACATAATCTCTCCCACAGATGACAATGCCCCACAGAAGTGATGCATCATGCAGGCAGAGCATCCACCTCTGCTAGTGTGTATTCCACTAATCGGACTCCTTCTGTGAACAGCAGTTCTTGGGAAGTGAGAAAAGGGCCAAGGTAACACCACACACCAAGTGGTCCACCAGTGACTATTGCTCACCAGAGCCAGTGCGGCCCAGTGGGCAGGGGTCCATCAAGCTCATTTGTTCGTAGACTTCCAGTTTTGTCAATTCGCAGACAGGTGCGCTCCATCACAGCTCTGATGTGAGCGCACCGCAAATGTGCCGATGGGGGGGGGTCCAAGTTGATCTTGGCCCCCCAGACCCCTTGGAGGGGGGTCGTAGCCTGGGGCGCAAGAAGTGCCTCTCCCAAGGCGGAAGCCAAAGGATTGAGGCACCTTTTTGCCCCGATAGGCCCCCACGGCATGGAGGTAGGTGCCCCACGGCACCTAGAGGTGCACACCGGACAGAGCGCACAAGGATCCCAAGGAATGATCTTCTCTATAAGCGCAACGAATGCAAGAACAAACGTGAGTGAAGCCATGACCCAGCAAACAACCGATAAAACGCTAGCAGTAAAGCTGTCCCAAAGCCCCAAACAAGTGGAAGGGGGAGGGGAATGATGGAGCCCGAAAAGATCAATTTTAAAGTGGGAGGCTAAAAGGGTGGCTTGAAGGAAGCGGATTATGATGGAGTGTGCGGCGGACTGGCAAGAAAGCGATAAATCATCGGACTTACTGAGAACTTTTGGACTTTCCTCTTGTGTAAACAATGACCCAGTGAATACAAAAAATGGCGCTGAAAATGAAACTTATAACAGGAACGGCCAGCACATCATCACCAGCTACCAGGCTGGAAGCAACCACAGACTTTCCCAAACTGATTGCTGGAACTTCACGCCCTCTACTGGACCAGATGACCAAACTCAGCGACAGGCTGGATATGTTGCAAAAGGATCTCAACATTTCAGTGAGAAAGAAATAAAGCGGATGTTCCTGAAGCAACAACAGAAAGTGGAAGAGGGACCTGAGAAAGTGGAGGAAAATAAAGACACAGAAGAAGAAGAAGAAGGGAAAGATGGGAAAAACTTTGATACCATCTCGATTAGTCTGGCTGAACTATTTGATCCTGAAGCAGAATTAGGACTTACCACCCCTAAAGCATTTAAAAAATAATTTGGACTTTGACAGGAGGAGAGGAAAATGCAAAATAGTTTAACTATGATAGTTTTTTTTTAGGAGGAGGAGGAGGAGGAGGAGGAGGAGGAGGAGAAAGACTTTGATACCACCTTGATTAGTCTGGCTGAACCATTTGATCCTGAAGCAGAGTTAGGGGGTGCCACCCCTAAAGCATTTAAAAACTAATTTGGACTTTGACAGGAGGAGAGGAAAATGCAAAACAGTTTAATTTTGACAGCCTGATGTTTATTCTTCAGGCATAACTTTAATCCAATGGTATTTACACGATAGCCAAAGAGATTGTGATTGTTTGCTTGACACTTTCATATTATTAACTCTCATACTTTGCTTTAAAGATAATAGGGATGTATCAACAATCTTATATCACTGTAACATGGATCCTTGTTACTCTTTATTTTAGGTTGTTCCCTTCCCCTGACACTGTAGGATTGTAGTCTAGAAAATAAAAATATTATTTTTTTAAAAAAAAAACTCACTTGTCCGTTCTCAGCGAAGACTGCCAGTGGATCCAAGGCAATGATGGAGAGCATTGTGGGCCAGAGCTGGAGCCAATGCACCCTCCTGCCTTGAATGTCTCCTGCAAGAGTGCCAGACTGGCAAGGGACAGCAGCCCCAAGTTACCCTGTGCTCTGCAGGTGGGCCACCAGCCAGCCCCATTACAGGCCCATTGGCTGGGTGACTGGGGTGCAGGAGCCTGTGTGGCTGGTTCTGCACTCAACCACACATTCACCACAACCCCATTCCTGTCCACGGGACCATTGTTTATGGATGTCCTGGTAGTCCAGCATTGCATGGAGGCCTAGCTGGATCAGGTGGCAACTGCCCTGCAGTGTCTAGAGAGGGATGTGGGTGGCAACAGGCAATTACAGTGCTATATAGAGCACCAACTGTGGGGCCCACTGCTGGCCATCATGGGCCTGCTGCATGGTGGCTGGCCCATAAGCCTGGAGGACATCCAGGGGTACTTGCAGCAGCTTCCTGTGGCTGTGGGCAGGCTGTCAGACCTTCTAAAGGTACCGCTGGGTAAAGTGGGCCAAGAGGGTTGTTATTTCCCATGCTTATGACAGTAGGAAATGCCCAAGTTGCCTACCCCATTCCTTTCCAGAACTCCCCACTCCTCTGCATCTGGACTGCATGGATGCTTATGGGCAACATGACAAGAGTAACGTTACTCTGAGGGCCATTTCCTGGTAGGGTTGCCAAGTGCGACGTACCTGTTCCCTGGGGGACCCCCATGTGGTTCCGGGAGCGCGCGCACGCTGCATACACTTCCCCGGGAAGTGACGTTATGACGCCAGGCACGCTGGGGGCGGGGCCACGACCATACAAGGGAAAACCATAGCGTGCCTGGTGTGCCCGTGTCACTTCCTGGTGATGCACACGGCGGGGAGGAGTTCCCCCCGGGGCCTGATCCGGCGGCGCCAGGGAACAGGCTTCTGGGGCGGGGGTTTCCCTGCCCCCCGGGGGGACTTGGCAGCCCTATTTCCTGGCTGGAGTGGCTTGGGGAGCTGAGTAATTCCTGCCATGCTCCCAAATCCACCCCTGAGCCCACTGGCAGAGGGGTTGCACCACCGGTGGTCTGGTAGGCAGCCACAGTGGTGCCATGGCAACACTCAGCACTGGAGCAGTGGTGCCAGGGCACTGCTCCAGCGTGTCTCCAGGTTATGCCTGCATCTCCCACAGATACCCCAGCTGGCAAAGTGGGGCTGGCTCCTTAAGTGCTTCCCCCCCACCCCCCAGGCTCATGTTGTAAATGTTCCACTTGCACTTAGTCTCTATACTGAAGTGACATTCATCTTTTAGGACTTGATCATTAGCTCAAAGGAAAGGGGTAGTAAAGCTGACTAGAGAAATTTGGCACTATGAAGTTAGCTGACAGGACACTGTGAGGAGGAGGTGCTATGCCACCATCATTGCGGCTGAGCAGTGAAACCAGCTGGAGTAGGGAGGAATGGTGGTTCTCAAGATGACACTAGGTAGTGATGGAGAATTTATATACAAAGTAATATTTAACACAACGTGCATTTCATTAACTGCAAAAATGACAAGGTCCCTCTTGCTTCTATCCAAACATCTTTAGTATTAATTATTAAAATTCAATTAGACATCGTTTGGGATGCAAGGCCAGAGCTCCATTGCATGTAGACAGAATTGTGGGAGCAGTAACAGTATCCTGACTGAGGCAGAAAGGAAGTTAAAGTGGTAGACAGAGATACTTGCCATCCCACCCCTCGACTTAGAAGAACATATCTTCCTGTGGCTGCTGTTACAGATGCCAGGGGCTTCCTCAGAGAGGCTATAAGATGAGAAAGGGAAGGATGAATCCCATACTGGCCTTTTGCACTACTGTATGTTTATCTCTTGGTAAGAGCATATAGGGATATGAAGCAGGACGCCTGCCTGATTGGCACCCCCCTTGGAGTTGCACTTAGACCACAAAGTGCAAGTTTGCCGTAGTTCTTATCTACCTACCAGTTAGACTTGCATTCTGAAGATCTTTTATCTCTATGGTTTTCAGCGCCACCATTGCTGCTATTTGTTGCTCGTCTTCTGTAGTAAGAGGTGTTGATTCTACAATAAGGTCCTGCATGTTTTTACAGCTTCTGAGAACTTCCTTCACCCTTCCCGTGATGCCAGGGCTTCTGCAGACATGCAGCTTGAGACTTGAAGCGGAGCAGCATATTTTTTCCAGATATTTGATATCGCCCTTTTCTAACCTGTTGAAATCCCTAAGGGTAATTTCTAAAGATTGTAGGTTTCGTTCCCAGTTGAAAAATAAGGCAACAGCCTTTTCAGAAATGACTGTTTTCTGTGGATTCGTTTTAAGGTGTCCCTTCTCCTCGTCTTCTACATCTCCCCAAGAGTAGCAGCCCCCCAAATCTAATCTGATGAGTTCTAGTGCACTCACACAATTAGAAAAGTGTTCAAAAAAGCCACAGATGTACACAGGGATGCTCTGAGTATTGATGTACAAACTTTTACCATGGAAAAATTCCTCAAACTCTTCACTCACAGTCGATTTGGAGACACTTTCATAAAGTAAGCTAATGGCACATTCCACAAGTGAGTTTGCAGATGTTGCACTCAAGTTTTTTTCATCTTGCCCATTTCTCCCATTTTTCATGGGTTGTATGTCTGATGACTGATCATTGGGAGAGCACAACACATAAAGACTGCCTTGTTGATGAATGGCTGACAGGTGCCTGATAATAGTTCTGGTGGCTTCTGTGGATGTTCCACAAGTATATAGGAGCAGATTGTGGTAAGTAGAAATAATATCTGGGATGTTATCTATTTGTTTAAGGTAACCAAACCCTCTGGCCATCTCCTCATCTTTATATGATTTTAGTAGCTTGGAAAGTCTCCTGCCTGCAACATATTCCTGGAAGGCTTTATGAAAAAACCTATAAACAGGCTTTAGCCTCTGAACTGTGTACTTGTGCATCAGGCCTGTGGCAAGCAGAACTTTTTCTTTTACATGGAAGAAATCCTCAGGGTGAAAATCAAATTTGTTGTCAAAGAGTCCCTTTAAGGCTAAATCTCCACAGTGGTTTATGCTCAGGAGAAAATCTTCATCCCCTATTTCTCTGATCTTGGGCTTGTTCCTCTCCAGCAACAGATCATACAGTGTAGAGAACAGAGTTGTTTGCGTGTGTGTATTAAAAGTGGGTTCCCCCATTTGGATGGCACAAGCAATGATCACAAATAAAGGGGTCTTCATGAGGTTCTTGACTTGATAGCCTGAGTTCTGGCAAGTGGAATCTATTGCGTCTAGCTGAGACAACAGGCCCTTTGCTAACTTGTCTTCCAGTACATTTCTAACCAGCTGCCTTGCACTCGCCTTTGTCAGATCACCTATTTCAGCAATCAATGACCCAATGTATCGAACCCTACTCATGGACTCAGTTCTGGTAGTAACAATAACTGTGTTTTTGAATCGATGGTTTTCTTTAATCAGTGACTCTATTTCTTGGCAGCTCTGTGGTACAAATTCATCATAACCATCTAACAAAAAGAGGGTTTTTTCTCGTAGTGAACTTAATATCTTCATAAAGTCAGCTTTGCATATTCTATAATGCTCTGTAAGAAGTTGTGCACACACTGTCTCATACAATCCAGACTGTGCACCACTCAGTCTGATGAAGAAAACAAGTTTGAATTTCTTCAAAGAAGGATGTTCTTCATTTGCCCAGAGTAAAGCAATCTTCTTGAGAAGAGTGGTTTTTCCTTTGCCAGCTTCTCCCTCTATGATGCAAGGATTTTCTAGTTCATGCAAAAGTTCATCTAAAGTCTTCTGTCCTTGCCTGGTGTTACGGGTATCTTTCTTCCAAAGCAAAGTATCGGTATAAGAAGTTGTCAAATCGAAAACTATGTCAATCTCCTCACCCAGGGGATGAAATTTTTTAAATAATGGATATTGATAAAAATCCATTAAGTCTTGAGCCAAGTAGTCTAAGTCTTCCTGTGTTATTTTCTCGGCAACTCCTAAGAGAAAAAATACAAGGAAATTTATTGTCATTAAACAACTATATTGGTGTTATGAACATGAAATTAAGATGAGCTAGAGAGGTAACTTGCAAGGATTCCTTTAGGGTTATCATACTGGGTTTTGAGCTGCGGTGGCTCAAGTGGTTAAGACGCTGAACTGCAGGCTGTGGAAGGTCAGTAGTTCAGCAGTTCAAGACCCGGGTGCTGCATGATGGAGTGAGCTTCCATCTCTAGTTCCAGCTCCTGCCAACCTAGCAGTTCGAAAGCAAGAAATTGCAAGTAGATAAATAGGTACCACTTCGGTGGGAAGGTAACAGCATTCCGTGCGCCTTGGTGTTTAGTCATGCCGGCCACATGACCACGGAAACGTCTTCGGACAGCGCTGGCTCTTCGGCTTGGAAACGGAGATGAGCACCGCAACCCTAGAGTCGGATTCGACTGGCTTTCGAGCAAGGGAACCTTTACCTTTACTGGGTTTTTAAGCCCTCACCAGTTCACTAAAGAACATGCACAGTGAAGCCTGTCATCAAGAGTTCTGATTACAGACTCTTCTCTTTACTCTACAAATTGCACTCTACCAGATCTGTGGGGAAAGGGAAAGCATAAAGTCATAAAGCAAACCCTGATGTTACCAATATTTTGTTGTCTGGCATTTGGGCTCTTGAAAATGGCATGTAGGCAGGGGAAATAGGTACCCTCCTCCCCAACACACTCCGTGGTCCTGGTCTTGATT